GGGCTTCCTCCGGCCACCTCTGGCTTCCTGCGGTGTACCGGGCCATTCTCGACTCGTCTGGCAATGCGTGCGCGGCATTCAACACGCGCTCGCCAGTTCCCGTCGGCAACCGCCATCGCGGCCGCATCAGCTGTACCAAACCGGCTGGCCGGTGTGACTTCGGCCCCCAGTTGTGCCAGCTTTGCTTCTTATGTTGTGGGAGGGCGGGTGGGACTGGGCATGCCATGCTTGACTCGCTCGAGCTGGCTAGCTTGACTCCTACTCCTACTCCTACTCCTACTCTTATTTCTCCCTGCTCCTCTTCCTCATCCTCGCCCGTCTCATCACACTACTCGCCCTCCTGCCTCTCCTCGTCCTTTTTTTCCTCCTCCTTCTCCTCCTCTTGATCCTCCTCCTCCTCCTCGCTCCCCGTCCCCCCTCCAGCGCCACTGGCGCACCCCGCGCTGCTCACGCAACTCCTCTGACCCTCTTCTCAGCGGCGGCGCGATGGAGGTTTGGCCTGCGATAGAGGCGCGGCCCGTCGACGCCCGCCGCGGCTGGCAGCCGCCCGTCGCGCGCGGTACACGCGGGCCGAAGCCCGCGCTGCCGAGCACCTGGTGCTCGCCTTCGGGGCCCTCGCAGCGGCGGCTCTCGCCTTCGCGGCACCTAGACCACCGTGGCCGGCAGCCATCGCGGCTGGCCCGGGACCCGGCCAGAGCGCTGGCGGTGGCGTCGCCAGCTGCCCCCCGTGCCCACGGCGACGGGGCCGACGCGAAGGCCACCCCTGAGGCCAGCGCGGCAGTGCGCCTGCTCCCTCCGCCAGTGCGGCAGTGGCCGGCCTCCTCCTGGCGGCCGGCCCGGTAGGCCCGCTGCAGACCGCCAGGCTGTCACCTGGCAGTGCTGCTGCTGCGCCCACCGCAGGCTCGGGCGCCTGTTCCCGCGCCCCTCCGCCACTCGGGCGTCGCAGCAACCGGTGTTCTTGCTGCGGCTGCGCCCTCACGGTCGCCTACGATGTCAACTCCACGGACGTCTTCCCCGTCGCTTCGGGCCGGCGATGTTGATCGTTCCGATGTTGCTCCAGAGCCAGTCCGCGACGCTCCGCATTCTGGCGCAGACGGCGCCGTGCAAGTACAACAAGTCCGAGTGGCTTCCAGATGCACTTGGTCGTGTGCATTCGAGCGTGCACTCCACAGGCCAGCCTCCTTTCATCATGTCCGGTTCGCAGCAATAAAAATGGGGTCGTGTGCAACATGTTTTGTCCAGGCCTGTGAGTGTCAACGCAGTTGTGGCTCCTGCTTTTGTCCAACATGTTCAGCGTTGCCCTGCGTCTCCCCTTAGGGAATGTGAGCGAGGTATGATCGATGTCATGCTCACGCCGCGTCTTTGTTGCTGGATTTGCCCAGGGCCCCCACCAGCTCCTGTTGTCGATGTGTGTTCTTTGATCCTTTTAATTATGGTATAAGTTATGCAGAAGAGCTGCCATGCTAGAGTGGAATTCGATCAGGTCCGCTTAATCATCTGGTATTCAGTCGGGCTCAGGCGATCCAGCTGCTTCCAGCACAGACGGCGGTTTGTTCTCGTCAGACAGTCACGCCGCGGCAGGTCAAAGACAGCCTGCCCTGGCGCACATTGTTCAGCCAAGTGTGTGTCTCTGCGCTGCGGTTCGCGACACGCTCATTCGCAGTTTTCCCTTCCGCAGCCACACATCAAGATTGCACAATCCTGCGTATCCAGTCAGGGGGCTCCTTCAGGTACCCGTTCCTGCCTGGCGGGATGTCCCCCCGCCGACCTGCCTCCCCCGCCCAGGAGACGGCATTGGCAGCTCGTGCTTTCCAGAGTCTTCGGTGTTTTGGGTCTGGCGTCGCGCGTCACGGATCTCCTTCCTCGTAGTAGGTCGCCTCAGCCGTTCTTGCTTTTTGCCCCGCAGCTCCCGCTCCGCCCGAGGCTGGACGCCCCCCCCCGCCCACCAGTTGCGTTGTGCGATTGGTTGAGCGTGCTGGTTCCCCTGGCGGGCGCCTGCGCTCTCAGAGCAGCCCAGCCCCTGGGAGTCGCGTGCGCGACAAGCCTTTCAAGCGTGCTTCCTCTTCGTGGGTCGCCTCCACTCGCAGTCCCCGTGTTTTCACTGGGTCTCCCCTAGCCCGAGGTCCGTCCTCTCGGTCGCCTGAAGATTTCGCTGTCCCTTGCTGCCACGATACCTAATCAGGCTGCGTTTCGCACTGTCGCTGCCACGCTCACGGGGAGCGTGTTCATTCCCTGAAGCCGTGCGTTGGCCATCGCCATGCGAACCTTCCGCATGTGCCTTGTTTGGATACGCGTCGATGGCAGCATGCCTAAACCTGCTTAGCCTCGCCCCCATCGCCTCCCACGCTTGGCCTTTCGGCCGAGCTCATCCCTTGACGGTATCTGGTCGTCTTTCTTTTCGATCCGTTTTCACCCGACTCGGCGGTGGCGCAAGCGGCAGACCCCCTCGGCACGTGCGCCGCCCGCCATGACATCGCAGGAGCACGCCTGAAGCAAAGCCCGTTCCGAACCAACGAGACTCCTCCCTCCCTTTCCTCCGTCCGCCCTGCCTCCTCATCCCTCCTCTGCGTCGCCGTCCCTGCCCGCGCGCTTCCTCGCACGCAGGAGTGCGCGGGGGAGGGGGAGGAGGAGGAGTTGAAGGAGGAGAAGGAGGAGGAGGTGGAGGAGGAGGAGGAGGAGGAGAAAATGAGGAGGCAGAGGGAAGAGTACCGTCGTCCCAGGCCAGTACCGTCCTCCCAGTCCTCTCATCATTGCGGTCGGGTTTCACAGCCTGGGACCCACCGATATCGGGCCCCATGACCCGCAAGAGGCAATCCTAGGGCACGGAGTCCATGCCAGAGGTGAGGTCAAGAGGTCTGGAGCCCCGCGCGTCGAAGGCATCAGGGCGTCGCAGGTCGTGAGGATAAGCAGGGCACCCAGGGTGGGCTGCACGGTCTGGCTCCTGCTCTCTCGATTACCTGGTTTGCATCGACTGCACATGCCCCAAACAACTCAGCTCGCGTCCCGAACTCCTGGCCAAGGGCACTGCGGGAGCACTCGCTGATTATTACCAGGTTGGAGCATTCGGGAGCGTCCAAGAGGGGGGGGGACTGGGGGGGAGGATATCGTGACCGGGGCCACGATCTCTGCATAGGTGTCATGGTCCCTTCTTCCTTTTTCAGCACGTCCCTTGGTTCTCCCCATCGTCCGCACGCGTGCCTCCGGCCATGATTTGCGAGCCCCCGTCTTGAACGTCCGTCTCCTGCACGCCCCCGAAGCACGAGTGCAGAGGGGCAACGGGAGAGGCGTGGCGCAAGGGGGCCTGTGCGCCGCGCGGCAGCCGCCGCCTCGTGCAGCTTCCCCCCCTGCTCGTCCGCAGGTTTTCTCGGCCCGCGGGGGTCTGGCTCCAGCCCCGACGCCTGGAGGAGGAGGAGGAGGAGGAGGAGGAGGAGGAGGAGGAGGAGGAGGAGGACGAGGGGGAGGAGGAAGAGGAGGAGGAGGAGGAGGAAGAGGAGGAGGAGGAGGAGGAGGAAATGAGGAGGAGGAGGAGGAGGAGGAGGAAGAGGTGCGGGAGAAAGAGGGGAATGAGGAGGGAGAGGCGGGAAGCGGGATGGTGGAGGAGGCTCGTTCCGAGCTGGAGGGAGAGGAGGGATGGGGAGAGGGAGTGGGAAGGGAAAAGCGGAGAGGAGGAAGGGGAGGGAGAGAGGATGGCGGGGGAAGGGGGGAGGGAAGCGGGAGTTCACAACCGCGGCATGGCCGTGGTAGCGGCCTACCGGGGCGCGACGGAGAGGCCTTGGGGAAGGGTTTCCCCCGGGCAGAAAGAGAGAGGAGGAAAAGGAGGAGGAGGAGGAGGAGGAGGAGGAGGAGGAGGAGGAGGGGAGGGGGAGGGGGAGCGGGAGGGGGAGGGGGAGGGGGAGGGCCAGGCAAGGGGAGGGGAGGGGAGGAGGAGGACCAGCCTCCTCATCTCCCATTGTGTGGTAGTTGCTGTGCACAACGACATCCGTACCTCTTCGACCCCGCTCAGTGCCAGGCCCGTCGCTGCTATTCTCAGGCTCGTGCGACACCAGTTCGCACGCCCGATTGGAAGTGCTGCAGGATTCGGTGCGCCCTGGGTGCGCTTGAAGAGCCTCCTCCGCCCCTCCTCCCCATCTTCAGGGGGACGAGCGGAGGAGGCAGGAAGAAGGGACGAGGAGGAGGGAAGACGAGGAACGCCCTCTCCACGCCCGCCGTCCCGCGCCACTGTGGGGGGCGCCTTCGTCCCGCCGCACCCTGGACCGGCACTGATCGGGACCGCCCCCCCCCCCCTTCTCCGCCGAAGTCGGGGCGACGAGAACTATGCAGTATGCGTATGCGCCGACGTTGGCCAGGCCCATCCTGGGCCCAGGATGGTCCAGGCCAGCGTCGGTGCATGCGCAGACTTCTCCTGCGCTTCGAAGCCTCACGCACGGAGGGCGCTCTCCAGAGATGGCATCGCGGTCGCCTCGCCTCGCCCTCGGCGGAGGGCTGGCGGGAGCAGAACGGCAGCCTCTGGTCCGCTTGCGGAGGCCGGCGGAAGTAGACGAACCCCACGACAACGAAGTGTCACGTGGTGGGCGAGTTTGTCGTCGAGGACCTCCTCCGCTCCTAGCGCACGTTGGCCGCGCGGCCAACAGAAAGCCCCCTCCCCCTCGGCCACCTCCACCCCTAATTCACCCCTCTCGCTCCCTCCTCTCCTCCTTTCCCCCCCCTCTCCCCCTTCACTCTCCTCCCCCCCCCACTTCACCCCCCTCGCAAACCTCCTCCCTCCTCCTCCACCCTCCCTCCTCGGCCTCCTCCCGTCCTCCTCACTTCTCCTCCCCTCCATTCCATCGTCTTCCTTCCGTCCTTCACTCTTCCCCCTCGCCCCCGTCCTCCCGTCCTCCTCCCCCTCCCTCCCTCCTCGGCCCTGTCCCGTCCTGCTCCTTCGCTTCTTCGAGGGATGCCCAGCAGGGTGGCAAGGGGTCCTGGCTCGGCGCGGTGCTCGGGCACCCCCGCCCGCCCAGGGTGGCCACTTGGCGCTTGAGCGAGGCCATCAACCACACATGCGGTGAGGTGGAGACGAAGCCGATAGAGCACGTCTTCAAAGACATCATGGGCAACAATAAAGGCGGACGTTCTACCATGATTGTCACCCGGGGAAAGGCGGAGGAGCACGTCGGCAGGTGGGCTTCGAGGTCGTCCAGGGTGTCCGAGAGGTCGTGACATGTTCTGGGGGGCGTCGAAGAAGGAGGAGGAGGAGGAGGAGGAGGAGGAGGAGGAGGAGGAGGAGGAGGGGGGGTGGAGGGGGTGGAGGGGGAGGGGGAGGGGGAGGGGGAGGAGGAGGAGGAGGAGGAGGAGGAGGAGGAGGAGGAGGAGGAGGAGGAGGAGGAGGAGGAGGAGGAGGTGGAAAAGCGATGAGAGGAAGAGGTGGAGGACCAGCAGCAGCAAGAGTCTTCAAGCACACCCGTGGAATCAAGGAAGGGTCCTCTTTGAGATATCTCAAAAGGGTTGGGTGAAGAAGGGTAACGGGAACAGCAGCTGCAGGAGGAGCAGGAAGGAGGAGGGGCGAGCGCGACGGTGTTAGGATGTCCTAGGATATTATCTGGCTTGTGAAGAGGTCGCATTGGCATTATCGGAGTCTTAGAGAGGCAAGTCGTTTGAGGAGGAGGGGGAGGAGGAGGGACAGCGGGAGGGGGACGAGGAGGAACAGTAGCAGGAAAGGAGATGGGGAGGAGGAGGAGGAGAAGGAGGACGACGACGATATATGGAATGAGGAAGAGGAGAAATACTACGAGGAATGCGAGCAGGATGAGCAGCGGGAGTCAGTAGGAGGCGGACGAGCACCAGAGTCGGGGTGTCCATGACTCTGGCGTTCATCTCGTCTGCTCCCGCTGCTGCTCCTGCTCCTTCTTCACACTGATTAGAAGAGGCGTGTGTCTAGGGACGGGGGGGGACAGTATTCCTTGCTGCCCATAGGGCATCATATCAGCAGTCGCATGCTCTGCCACGTTGGCTCGAGGGGCTGCCTCTTTCTGCGTTTTCGTCCTCCTCCTTGCCCACCTTCCTTACAGGGACGAGGGCAGCAGGAGTTCCCGCTGGACAAGTAGAGGAGGAGGAACATATTAGGGTGGAGGGATGGGAAGGAGGAAGGAGAGGAAGGGAGCAAGAGGAGTATCAAGAGGAGGGTGATGACATCGAGGACGAGGAGGATGAGGACGATGAGCAGTACGAAGAACAGAAGAGCAGAGGATGAGGTGGGGGATGTGGGGAGCAGGTGGAGGGCGAGGGCACGGAGAACGAGGCATCGGGCCGATGAGGTCGGGACGAAGAAGAAGCATACGACTCACCACGTGTTGTTACCGAGTGTGGATATCCATGTGAACTCACATTGTGTGGAAACAAATGTGAGCGTCGAGCCTGACGCGTGTGGAGCCCTATGTGTGCGAAACCCCATGCGTGTGGACCCCCATGCATTCAGAACCCCATGTTGAACTCAATGTGTGTGTGGGTGTGGAACCCATGCGTGTGGAAGCCCACAACCCAGTGCCTTCGGAACTACTCCGCCCATGAACGTCCAGCTTTGCCATTGGGGGCACATAGCCGATCTGTCGGAATGCATCACCGATTCAAGCTTTGTCCTTCCCCACCCCCTGAGCTGGTCTCGTCATATCGTTCCCCCTCAGTGGGGTTGGGGGTACGTAGGTGAAAACCATCCAGACCCAGATCTCCGACGTCGTGATTGTGCTCCACCGTAGACCCCCAGAGGTCTGGACCATTTCCCCGGAACCTGCTTTTCATCATGAGTTGTTTTTTTGACGTTGACGGTCCCGGGGCCCGGCAAGGGCCCCCAGAGGCCGAAAATAGCCAAACATCTCCCGTCGACATTTTTGTCGCACCCCGAGGGGGCAGGGGGTGTGAAGAACACCAACGTTTCTTCATCAGTCCCCCCTCCCTTCCGACAGGGATGGGGTGTCGGGGCTGATGGGCGGCCTTCGGTCCGACCCTCGCACTGGGCGCACATACCGAGAGCGGCTGCCAGGCGTGATGCAGGAGACCGCGGGTATCGTCAAGAAAGCCGTGGAAGCGCGCGGCCGATCCTCGCCCTGCATGCCTGGGGGAGGTCTTTTCGAGGTTCGATGGTGTTCCCTCCCTCGATCTTCCTCTCCTCCCTCCTCGTCGTCCTCCTCTTCCTCCTCCTGCCCCTCCTCCCTCCACCTCTTCCGTGCGCACGCGTTTTAAGAATTTCCTACAGTGTGAAAAAGATGTAGGGCCCTCTTCACGACGTGGTTCTCGCTTCAGCGACGCGCGCACTCGCTTCAAAGATGGATGGCGATTTGCTTTCAAAATGGGGCTCTCGCCTGAGCGCCGCGCACATGTGTCTGATAATTTCGCACCCGCCCCAAGGACGGAGTGCGGTTCCATTTCAAAATATGGTTCTTGCCTGAGCGCCGAGCACAATCGTATTAACATCTTGCAGCGGTGGTAAGGGTTCATAATGTCAAAGTCCCAAGAGTGGCTTTCTGCCGCGATGTCAGGACGTGTCAGGACGCAGCAGTCGCGCTGCTTCGAAGTGCCGAGGCCCCAGAAGTGTCTTTCTGGCAAGGCTTTGGGGTTGCCACGACGCAACAGCGACGTTGAGCCACGGTTCTGAAGTCCCACAGCGGTCATTTGCCACGCTTTAAAACTGTCAGGACACAACAATTTCGTTCATTCGCGGCGTTGAAGGCCCAGAAGCGGTGTTCTGGCACGGCAAGATTGAGGATTCTCTGGCGGTTGTCTTCCACTGGGGCATTTGCCGCGATGAAATCAGTTCGTCGCGTTTCGCGCATCCCACCAGACCATTCGGAAACCTTGTCCATCAGAGTTGACGGGAAAAAGAGACGAGGAAACACATGCAATGACACGATGCAGGCAACCAGAGTGAACAAAGAGATCTTTGGAAGCACGGGTGTGGCTTTGCAGGGCTTCTTCGGGCCATCCTTGAGGACCGCGTGGGGGCGAGGGATGGAGGAGTAGGAAGACGAGGACGACGACGACCACGACGACGAGGAAGAGGAAAAGGAACAGGAAGGCGATGAGAGCAAGGAGGAGGAGGAGGACAGCGAGGACGAGGACCGAGTCCTCAAACTCGCCTCTTGGAGCCTTCTCGTGACTCGCTTGGGGGATCGCGGGGTCCTCTTGGGGCTCTTTCAGAAGGGTATTGGGGCCCCCAGGCCTGTTGGGAGCCCTGGAGGGCCTATTCGGTCTATCGTGAAGGGCGTCGGTGAAAAGAGAGGAGGTCATATCGTTTGGCGCCCCCCCCCTCGGGCCATCCAACTCGCCTCCCAGGGACCTCTTGGGCCGCTCTTGGGCGCTCTTGAAACCGCCTGGGGGGGGGCTCTTGGGCCCCTCTTGGACCCCTCTTGGGCCTCTCTTGAGCCATCTTGGGGCCATCGTGAGGCCTCAAAAGCACATCGGAAGCGAAACGGCGAGAGGTCAAATATCATTGATTTGCATCAGGTGTTCGAAGGAAATGGGCCTCTTGGGGGGGGGTCCTGAGGAGACTCAGAGAGAACTTGGAACCGTCTTGTGGCCCTCGTCGGGTTTATTGGAGGTATGCCGCGGCTATCTTGAGCCGCCTTGGAGGCATTCTTGGAGCAGAGGAGGCCCTCTTGGAGCCATCCTGGGCGAAACCGGACCCCCCAAGACACTGCGGACCCCCCCCCCAAAAAAAAGAAGAAGAAAAATTCAGGGAGGGGAGCGGGAGGGTACCCCTCCCCGAAGGGAAGAGGGCTTTGGAAGAGGAAAGAAAGTCGCCAGACCACCATAGCCCAAAGGGCTGGTGGGAGTTGTGCAGGGACCAAGAGGGTGTATTGCAACATCGGTGATGTGTCTTGGAGCTGCACTGGTCCTCCGCCGTCTGCTTCTCCCTCTCCCCTCCCTTCTCCTCATCGCATGCACCCCCCCCCTCCCTCCTGCCCGTCACAAGCGCACGGCTGTTTCTCAAAGCATGTTGGCAGGAGAAGGTTGAGGAGGCGCTGAACGTTTTAGCAGGCCTGTCAGTGCGGTTTTCGGAGGTTCTGCTGAGAATTTGGCGGTTTCTCGGGGGATCTGCGGAGTTCTGTGAGGTCCCAGGTCTCCTGCAGGAGGAGCGAGAGGGGGGGAGGGAAGGAAGCAAGAGGAGAACCCAGAGATAAGGATAAGGAGGCGGAGGGGGGGGGAATGAGGAGGCGGGAGAATGAGGAGGAAGGAGGAGGAGGGAGGGAAAGGGAGTCCACCACCAGTGGCCTCTTGGTCTGGCTGGGAACCGACGTCATCTTTGATCTTGGCCGAGAGCTTGCTTGCGAAGGCTCGGTGGTGGATGTTGCCCTTCTCCCCGGTAAAAGTGGTTGTCGGACCATACGTGATCAATCTGGCACAGGCTTAGGAAGCAGTTGCTGCTTCGGCAGTGGCATGCGGTAACCGGCCGTGTCAGTGGATTCTTGGAGACGGCCGTTCGTGCCAAGGTCTATCGCAGCGTATCCCACAAATTCACACAGTCCGGGCCAGGTCATAGATTACATGCGAAGATAATTAATCGTCTGGTCGCTACACGTAGGGTATGGAAGGACGGTGAGGCAAGAGCTAAGGGCCGAGGGGGGAACGGAGAGCATGGAATCATGATGATGGTGATGCTGATGCTAATGATTATGCTGCTGCTGATGATGATGATGCTGATGATGATCATGGTTAATGCCAATGTTAATCATGATGATGCCAACTGAAGATGCTGATGATGCCAATGACGGTGATGATGCTGGTGCTGGTGCTGATGCTGATGCTGCTGCTGAGGATGATGCTGACGATGAGGATGCTGATTGTGATGATGATGACGATGATGATGATGATGATTGTGATCATGGTGATGGTGATGGTGATGATGCTGCTGATGATGTTGTTGATGATGATGCTGCTGATGATGATGATGATGATGATGATGATGATGATGATGATGATGATGATGATGATGATGATGATGATGATGATGATGATGATGATGATGATGATGATGATGATGATGATAGCGAGTGGTGATTGTGCTGAAGATGATGAGTGTGGATAGTGGAGGGGGTGCGGTGTTCCTGCGCGAGGGGTCTAGAGAAGCACAAACCCCATTGAATGTGGGGGAGGAAGCGTCAGAGACCCTGGGAAGAGCACTCTAGGAGGAGTGCAAGGACTTCTCGTTTGGGGACACCATCGAGGAGGAGGAGGAGGAGGACGAAGAGGAGGAGGAGGAGTAGGAGGAGGTGCAACGAGGAATGGGGAGGATGAGCGAGGAGCGAGGAGGAGGTGCAGGAGGAGGAAGGGCGATGAGGAGCGTGCAGCGAGCAGCAGGGTGGGGCGGATATCGACGGGGGCGCTCCTCGCTTCCAGGCGCGCGGCGTGTCGGCGGGCACCTGCCAATGCTGCGAGTGCTGCGTGTCGACCAGGGAGAGGGAGGCCCGCCGCCCTGGGCCTGGGATTGGTGCGCGGGCAGGAACGTGTGTTCAGCGCGTCGCTCCGCGGGTTCTGGCCCACCACGATGCGGCGCGAGGCGTCAGCGACATCCCAATTCCCAGCCTCGCAAGTGTCGCCGGGACCGCCGCCGCGGCACGGTAAGCAAAAGTTCCTGGCCGTACAGCTCGCACGAGGTTTAAGTTCGTGTCGGACGACAGAGGGGGGGCACAGGGAAAGGGGGTACGGCACGAACTTGGCAGCAGGGGGGCCCGGGCCCGAAGTTCGATTCCGGGCCTCCGAAGGCAATGTAAATGAGCAGACCGCCGCAGTGGAGCCCAAGAGCGATTCTGAGCCCATCACGACAATGTGAACGAGCAAACCGATGCATACAGCTGGTTTCGGCCCCGCCGCTGAGCGCCGTCCTCGCTGGGGGCCTTCCTCGCTACGTTGGCGCCCTTGGCGCCGGGAGGCGCCGGCAAAATCAGCTACGCGAGCTGCATCGCTGACACCCCTTCTGCAATCCCCCCCCCGCTCTCGTCCGATCTGATAAGAGCAGCCCTAGTTTTTGAGAGGTGCCCTCGTGTTCTTCGTCTCTGGGTTCTTCACTTCACCTCGGAGTGCTCATAGTTAGTTTGGGCATCCCCATGGGGTGGTGGGCCTTCTTCGATGAGGCGAATGCTCTTGACCCATGCTCTTGTGGCCATGGCTCGATTGTATAGACCGCACAGTCAACCCGCGTGGTAAGCATGAGCAACTTTTCAAGGTTACCCTGGCTTCCCTCTCCTTCGGCATATCCTCGGCCGCTTTCGCTGGCCGCGCCCCGCTCGCAAAGTGTCGGCATGGCCTTCCAAGGCCCTTGCATCTTCATCGTGCGCCCTCACGATCAAGGTCGGCTGTGCTGGCCTGGACAGGCCAGCCTCGACGCCGATCTTGGGCCTCGGCCTGGCCAACAGCGGTGCCGGAGTGCAATTGTCGTCGTCCGCCTCCGTCCGTGCCCCGCGTTCCCTCCCCAGGGCCTCTGAGCGGACTGTTTGCGACAGTCCCAGCGGCTGTTCCAGATTTCGGCCTCCTGGGGGGGGGCGCTCTTCGGGCCCTGGGGACCATCGAAACGGGACCCAGGGCGCAAAAACACCATCAGGAAGTGGGCGAGGCCCTGGAGGGCCTGAGAGCCGAAAAGAAAATCGGTCGAAGGTCTGGGCATCCCCCGTTTTCCCTGCTGCCTCGCCCTCGCGTCCTCCTGTTTGTCCTCCGCCCTCGCGTCCTCGTCGTCGTCGTTGTCGGATCGGCGCTCCTCTCCTCTCCTCTCCTCTCCTCTCCTCTCCTCTCCTCTCCTCTCCTCTCCTCTCCTCTCCTCTCCTCTCCTCTCCTCTCCTCTCCTCTCCTCTCCTCTCCTCTCCTCTCCTCCTCATCAACCTCAGGATCGTCTTTACCCTCACTATTTCCTCCTCCCTCCCATCCTCCCTCCCCCCCTTTGTTTGGTTGCTCCTTTCTTGTCGGCTCCACGTCCTCCTGTGTTTGGTGAGTATTGTCCTTGTCCTCCTCAGCTTCAGGTATCCTCGTATCCTTATCGCCCCTCCTTCCTCGTCATCATTCCCCTCCTCCCTCCCCTCTCCTCGCTGATCCTCCTTCTTCTCATCCATCCCCCTCCTCATTTGCTTAGCCGATTCACATAAGCATCCTCGCTGTCCTCATGTTTCTTTCCGTCCTTGCATGCCTTACGTAATTGGTTCCAGGATGTGCCTTGAGTTGTTCATGTTTCCTCTTGGGCGAGTGCCTCAGTGCGGTTCTCTGCATATCGACGTGGATGTCCCAACGTCGCCTCTCAGGTATCTGTGGGACGACGGTACACATGACGAGCGACGAAGTACGCATGACGAAAGATTGGCACGGGGAGCAAGGAGCGGGCCGTTTAGAATCAACGATGTTCGTACACTGGCGAGGCACTCTGTTTCATCGGCAGCGGCAAGAGCTTGTTCCACGGGCCATGTAGACGCAGTGTTTGTCGCTGACCCATGTGCGTAGCGCATCACGTACGGTGTTATATCCCAGTGTGGTCGCGGAGCGTATAC